TTTTATTCATATTTTTGGTATCATTTTTAAGTCAGTCTAGTGTTACTCAACAGTCATTTGTTTCTATATTAATTTAAACTAAGTAATTCCAAAAACCTTCAAGTTGTTGCTCTACCATGTCAGTTATAGAACAGTAGTCTACTGATTTCCTTCATGAAGGGTATGCTGCACTTTCAGAATATGTCTTGGTCTTCATATCGTATTTGCAGTTCTGAATGGAAGACTCTCGTTGGATGAGTTTATTCATGGGGTTGGGATTGTAGGGTTAGTGTCTCATATCATATGAGCAAGTTCAATGTTGCATTTTTCCAACGATTAAGGAATGGAAATACACCCAAAAAAAAGTTGAGAGGAGACGAGGAAAAGTGGATCCAGTGGAATCATTAAAGCAATTACTAACTAGAAGCGGGCTTGAAGTAGCCTTATTAACTACATCTCTTTTTGGATTGTAAATATTTATCAAAACTCATAATTGAATTAAAATTGAGATATTCGTGTAAGCTCTTCTCTTTTGAATCAGATAGATTCATATATGAAAGAGGTTGACAATAAATTCTTTTTAAAATTGACTATTTGTTCCTCTATTAGAGATGTTCCGGAAACGTCTACGATTGACTAAAAAGCTCTACCAACAAATGGATCAGATCCAAAAGAGAATACTTGAGTTCTCTCAATAACTAAAAAGTGTAGAATGCCTAAATCTAAGGTGAAATAGTGAGGAACATAAGCAACTTGAATGCAAAGTTACAAAAAACCTTAATAGGAAAAATTGAAAATAAGATATAATAGTGGGCATTAGTTATGCATACATTTGTATCAACGCCTCCCAGATGCCACTGATTCCGAAGAGAAAAGGTACTTCACTCGTGAAAGAACAGAATCATGAGCAGGATCATATGGTTGGTCCTTGGAAGGAATCTCCAAAATTGCCGGAATTGGCATGTTGTAACTATCAACTAAAAACCTTATCATATTTGCGACCTGAAAACCAGTGAGCAGAGGAAAAATGAAACCATATAAGACCAACCCATCCAACTTCTCCAACCATCTATATGACTTTACCTACACACATTTTAGAGAGTAACACCAAGCGGCCCATCTGCTAACACAGCAATAGTATAATGGAAGACAAGCAGATGATGGTGCATAATTAACTTCACTTGCTTGTAGAACAAGACTGAGTTGGTTTGTTTGCTGTGCAACTGATTCCTCTTACTTAGATATCGAATCAATAGATGCTATCATGGTTCTGCAAAGCTAAGAAGCACCATGGGACACGGGACACGGATACAACATAGACACACAGACACAACATTTTAAAAAAAATAGGACACAGGCACACAGCCAGGCCTCTCCCACAGTGGGGGCAACATAAAACTCAATAATAATGTTAACATATATTTTCGCAAAAATAACTGCATAAAAGAGCAATGTAAAAATTTTTTAAAAAAAATTATTATAAAGCTATCCATAAATGTCAATTCTTGAATTGAACTTTCTATTACCAACTGTTAGACAAAAAAAATATAAGTAATAATAACATCACCTTAATTATAGTGCTAAGAAAATAAAAAAAAATCGCAAAAACTGTTGAAATCAAAAAAACTATTTATGCGTTATCTCTCACAATAGCTCTAGCAGAATTTCTCATTTTCTTTAAAGCTATCCACTAAATGTACCAGATAAACACTAATAAAATTCAAAAACGAATTGACAAAAGATTAAAGAGAGATAAGTAAAGGGTTACCAAAAGAGAAAATTCTAATAAAATAATGTTTACAATTGTGTATAGTTATGCTCATATCTTATTGGATTTGCACTATGTATCAGTTATGTTTAATAAGAACGTGTTGCGTTTATCTACATTCATGTCAAATCATTTATTTGAGAGATCTAATAGGTCCATTCATTATCACCTAAATCTATTAAGGTTAAACCACCCTAATTCTTAATTAATTTTGTGACATATTTATGAATCATATTAAAATTGTGAGCACTATAATACTTAATTAAAAATATCCAAATAAGGAAAATTGAATGTCATTGGCCTATAGAGATCGAGTGTGACCCAAAATAAATGCAAATCTGTTAGAATTTTAATTAAATGTTTGTTTCATTTGGAATTATTAGATCTAACAATGAGGACATATACTTGGGATCACTTTAAATTTTTGTTGGAGACTTTTTTTTGGGACAAATTTTGTTGGAGTAAAGATAAATCTGTTTTTTTTATTTTTTTATGTTTCATTTTAGCTCTATAGTCCCCAAATACGTAGAGGCCGACACATGGACCCCACTCAACCTGCAAGTCTACCAAATTTGCAGAAGCCCTAGATTTAAAATACATAATACCCCTAAATCTTTTACAATATTTCAATGGGAGCAAGATCCTAAAATTTTGAAATGCTAAATGCATCCCAAATATTTTCAAAATTGTAGTGGGGTCAGTGGGTAGCCCTGCAAAACTATATAATTTATTGCAAGCATAGTGATAATCATACATTATTCATAAAAAAACCCACCACTTTATGATAGCTAAATACTATATCTAGTAATCTATTGTGAATTTTTGGACCAAAGCATCATTTATTTTTATTATTATATTTTGATTACAATTTTAAAATGTCTAATCTTGGTAATTATATACTCTCTCATAGTATCAGATACATACTAGTTAAATTTTTAAGCTTAGTTAATCACATGTCAACATATGTTTATTGTTTAGCAATTTTCAAAACCTAAAAAAGTGTTAAAACACGTTACCAAAGAAGTGTCGGACTAGAGTCCAAAATTAAAATTTTATCATTTAATTATGGACACGAATAAAAGAGTATCAGACATGTGTCCGAAAACATCTGTAGAGTGTCAGTGTCTGACATGAATACATCACCTTCTTGAGAGTGTTTGTGCTTCATCTGCAAAGGCATTCGAGTTTTTTCTTCTTGGTATTACAACAAAAATACAATATAGTCCTAAAAAATCACTTATATGATGCCATGTTCATGCTGCTTAGTGTATGCTCAAACACCACTCTATCCAAATAAAACCATATTAATTGACACAATCGTGACCATAAAGGAGGAGAATATATGATAGAGTAAACAGAAGAACTTACATATTGGCTGATCAAGACTATTGCAATGTTCTCTCTTGCTGTGAACTCTTTGAATGCGTCTTCAATCTGTTTAGCCGTGGTTTCTGGTCCAGAATACAGAATACTCTATGAGAAATAATAACATTCACTTGTTCCCAATTATTGCCAATAAAAGATTGGTCTCTCTAATACATACAAATTAAGAACTGACATTATAGTGGAAGATATGGGCATGGGGTGTTTTGT